ATAGTGCTTACTGTATGCCAGATGCTGTTTTAAATATTTTGCTACATTATTCAGCCTCCACACAATCCTGTGATGCACGTGCTATTATCCCCATTTTACAGGTGACAAAATTGAGGCACAGAGAGGTTGTGTTCACATGGTGAACTGCATCCAGATTTACACCGTAGTAAGTGGTAGAGGCAGTATTTGGATTAGACAGTCTAGCTTTGTAGCCTGTGCTCACAACCCCTCCACTAGGAGGCCTGTCATATTAACTAGAGGTGGGTTTTATTCGTCTGTGAGTTTGATCACTGTACCGTCAAGGTTCTCGTTCAAGTCCTCATAAAAGTACAAATAGAATGGGGGCTGGGATGGTGCCTTCTGTCTTAAACCTGTTGGAACCTTTTTAGGTAATCAGTGTTTTGGAGGTCTTTTTGGGGGGAAGGGCGGGAATATAGTGCTGGTTGTTCAGTTGGATACTAATCTACCTTATTAAATAACTTGGGTTTCCTGTAAGTTGCTTGGGCATACAAGTATAGTGACTTTCTCAGCTTCTTTGCTGAAATCCAGATACAATTTATTTATAGCATTTCTCAGACCTGCTAGTCTAGTCATCATATCACAAAAGGAAACGTTAGGATTTGTGATTTTTAACTTCCCCTTTTTAAAAAATGCTTAACTTGTCGTTATTTTAGTAAAATTTTGCCTATGATATGCCTTTTTCACCAGACTTGTAGGTTATGAAATCCTTTTTCTTTTATCTTTTGAAAACCGAAAGACTCTTCTCTCCCTTTCTCTAGAAATGCGTGTAAATCACTCAAACTCTCTTGGGAGGGGGTGGGATGGCTAACCTTGGCCAGGCCAGGCGCTGTGTCTGAGGTGGTTCCTGAAAGGGCGCTGGCTGTAGTTAGCAGCATCCTCCCTCAGAGATGACACCTCTGGCCTTAGAGAGCCAAGCTGGGATTCACCTTGAGGCCGGGGTGGCCTGTGCTCTCCCACTGCCCTGCTCTCCTGCCCAGAGACCCAGGCGCCCAGGAGCCTGGGGTGTTCTCCTAAGATGTCCACACCCACCCTTGGGTGAAGTCTCTGCTCCTGTTTGATCCTCTGCCACAACACACTTGGCAGAAGAGATGGAAACCAGGAGGCACTGAGCTGTCTCTGTCCCCCTTAGTTCGGGACCCTTTGCAATGATGGAAATATTCTATAATTGTATTGTCAAATATGGTGGTCACTAGCCACATGTAGCTATTGAGCACTTGCAATGTGACTAGTGCGACTCAGGAACTGAATTTTAAATTTTTATTTAGTTTTAATTTAAATAGTCACATGTGGCTAGTGAGTATCATATTGGACAGTGCAATTCTAGAAAGAAGTAATTTATGTTAAACAGATGAATTCATAAAGAGCTCTGGTGGTGCAAAATTTAAGCACTTGGCTGCTAACCAAAAGGTTGGCGGTTCAAACCCAGCCAGTGGCTCCATGGGAGAAAGACCTGGAGATCTGTGTAGGTAAAGATTACAGCCTAGGAAAACCCATGGGGCAGTTCTAGTCAGTCACGTGGGGTTGCTATGAGTTGAAATTGACTCAAAGGCACCTAACAACAGATAAATTCTTGGCTTCTGGGAGAACAGGTGGATTTCATCGTTCAGCTATGGTTGTTGTTGTGGGATGCTGTCGAGTCGATCCAACTGATAGCAACCCCATGTGACAGAGTAGAACTGACCCATGGGGTTTTCTTGGCTATAATCTTTATGGAAGCAGACTGCCAAGTCTTTCTCCCATGGAGCCACTGGATGGGTTCGAACCACCAACCTTTGTATTAGCAGTCTAACACTTAACTGTTGCACCACCAGAGCTCCTTGTTCGGCTATGGTACTAGTCGAATATACATTATACCTTTAAGGCATTTGTCTGAGGTCCTTTTTTATGTTTACGTAGAATGCCAGTTTATTAATTCAGAATGAGAAACACTGAAGCTGTTTAACTTAGGAACTTTCAACTTGGTTGTAAGTAAGAAGGACATAGCTGTACCTTGGAGGGTTTGGTGAATGCTTTTGTCTTGGCCATTGTGATACTTACCATGGTGGTTTCTAAGTTTGTGTTTGACTTTAAGGAGTCATAGGAACATTAACAGACCCATTGGGTGTGATAGGTGTAGTAGATGGTGTGACATGTGTCACAGGTGTTAAAAGTGCTATTAAGAGAGATGGAAGTAAAAAGAGAACAAGTTGAAGGGGGCAAGGAAATGATACATGTATTGGATCATTCAACAACAGGAAGGATTTTGAAGGCACAGCAAGCACACTTGTGTAAAATACTGTACCGTTGCTGTGTAGACTAGTAATCTGGGAGAGTCAAAGAAAAATGATTGACACCACGGAAAAAGGGGTTTCTAGAGTCTTGGCACAGTCCCCAGGTGGTGCAAATGGTTAACACACTCAGCTGTTAGCCGAAAGATTAGAGGTTCGAGTCTACCCAGAGGTGCCTTGGAAGAAAGGTCTGATGATCTACTTCTGAAAAAATCAGCCATTGAAGACCGTATGGAGTACAGTTGTACTCTGACACACATGGGGTTGCCATGAGTCAGAATTGACTCAATGACAACTAGTTGGTTATTGGTTGGTAGAGTCTTGATTGCACTTCTATTGGTAAAAATATTTGAGCTTGCAGCCAATGTATGCGTATTTATTTATTTAGAACAGTGGTTTTTGATGTGTGGTCCACGGACTCCTAGGATTCCCTGAGACCCTGTCAGAGGATCTCTAAGATCTAACCTATTTTCATAATGATACTAAGATGTTATCTGCCTTTTTCACTGTGTTGACGTTTACACTGATGGCGCAGAAGCAACGGTGGATAAAATTGCTGGTGCTTCAGTGCAAAGCAAGGCAGTGTCACCAAACTATTCTAGTAGTCATTGTGTGCTTCACTTCCACGCACGCTCAATGAACAAAAAAAAAAATGCCAGTTTCACCTAAGAATGTCTTTGATGAAACAGTAAAAAGTGTTTTAATTTTATCAAATCTCTTGAATAAACATCTTTTTAAACATTTTTGATGAAATGGGAGAAAGGTATAAAGTACTTCCACTGCATACTGAAGTAAGATGGTCATCTGGGAGGAAAAGCTCTTGTGCAGTTGTTCGAATCACAGCCTGAACTAGCCACTTTTTAAAATAATACATCTTTTTGCTTGAAAGAACAACTGACAGACTATGGTTATTAGTCTTGGCATTTGGCAGATATTCTCTCAGTGAGTGAAATAAGCCTGTCGCTTCAAAGATCCATTTCCACTGCAAGAGTAGTGGTGCCCTGAGCTGTGTGGGTAGGGACGCCCTGGGTCCTTCGGCCTTGGCCTTGCTGCTCTCGCTCAGCTCAGCAGGCCAGTGCTGCCGTCTTCCCATCTCCTGTGCTCTCTCCACAGCCAGAGAAGTGCCCAGACCTGCGGGGGGCACTTCTCTGGGTGTTCAGTGCACCCATCTGGAGATGACTGCTCCCTTTTCTGCTTGCTGGTGGGGACGCTTTCCCTTCTGATGGACACCTTCTTTCTGTAGATACTCTAAGACCCCCTTCAGGCTCCAGAGTCATTCTGTCCTTCTAAAACGATTGCTTCTCTCCATGGGGATGTGTTGATTTTTTGAATTTCAATCTTGGATGGCAATTGTCTTTTCACATTCTCTGTGGGGGTGAGAGGGTAGGGCTCGCGATAACCCTATAAGTACAGAAAACATTAGCTCTCAAATCCCACCTTCCTCTCTTTTTGCCATTGCCTTAGTCAGATCCTCTTTGTACTTTCTGTCTTAAGTCACCCTCCTCAATGCCTTCTGTTGCTGTTTATTTTTCATTGTCTAATTAATTCTAACATATTATGATAGACCTAAGAGCAGATGTTGTTGTAGTTGTTGTTAGTTGCTGTCCAGTTAATTCCAACTCACGGCGACCCTAAACGTGCAGAGGAGAACTGCTCCATAGGGTTTTCAAGGCTGTGGCTTTTCGGAAGCAGATCGCCAGGCCTGTCTCCCGAGGTGCCTCTGGGTGGATTTGAACCACTTATCTTTCTGCTCGTAGTTGAGCACTTAACTGTTTGTACCACCCAGGGACCCTCTATGGCGTATGTTAAACCCATTGCCATCAAGTCGATTCTGACTTATAGCAACTGTATAGGACAGAGTAAAACTGCCCCAAAAGGTTTCCAAGGAGCAGCTGGTGGATTTGAACTGCCGAACTTTTTGGTTAGCAGCCTTAGTTAGCACTTAACCACTATGCCACCGGGGCTCCATGGCATATATTAGATGGGAACAAGAACAACAAAAAGCACTCTGGCGGCAAAGAAGATTAGGATGAGTTGCTCAGGTTTACACAAGGAGTGGGTGGGTAATAGACTAAAAAAAAAAAAACCTATTGCCAACAAACCGATCCCGACTCACAGCAAACCTATAGGACAGAGTAGAACTGCCCCATAGAGTGTCCAGGGAGCGGCTGGTGGATTCAGACAGAGAAAGATGTAGGTTAGAAGTAGATGCCATCCTAGGTGACCTTGGCAGCCTCTCCGCTACCTGAGCCCCTAGTTTCTTACTGTCAAGGTAGGTGTGACCCTGCTGCCTGGCAGAGTTGGTGTAAGAATTATCCCACATGACCTAAGAAAGTGCTGCACATTTGAACACCCATTCCTGCCTCACCCGACTCTGCCCTTTTCAGGGCTCTTTTGCTATAGACTGTTAACCTAGTTTTTCATGTTCATGTGAACCTAGAATTACCACGTATAAATACTCTAACATTTGGTGACCTGAATTTGACAGGAAAGCATATGGAGATTCTACACTGAAGTCATGGCCCACATACTCCATGAAAGGAACTTGTGTCTATTCTAGCTTCCTATCTGTCTGCTGTGGGTATTATCTGGGAGGTGGGGGTCCCAGCTCAATAATTTGAATAAATAAGGCTGAAATAATGTTGGACACAACTTTACTCAGTGTAAAGCATTGTTCTTACTTTTTCTCATATTTGTATTCTCTCTTTTCAGGGATCAGCATCTTCTGGACCCAACTCTGGAGTATGTGAAGGTAGGAAACCAGGACTCAGCATGTAGTCATGAGCCTGTGTAATAAATTTCCTGTTTCTAACACAGTGTTGCCAAATAGTGCTGATGTCTGGTTTGTATAGAAGCTGGTTGGATTGTCTGAAATAATTGAGAAGTAATTTGACTCTCTTAGGCCTTTGGTAACCTTTGTGGGATCTTACATCATCCTACTTCATGTCTACAATCTTTTCTCCTTGTCTGGAACCCTTGGGGCCAGTGTGTTTTAAAATTCAGAATTTTTTTAGAAGAAAATATTGTGCCCTTCCAAAGGGGCCTAGGATCAGCACCCCATAATCAAACTCATTATTTCTGCAGTGAAATGTAAGACTATTCACACTAAGTGGAATAAATAGACTATTAATAACTTTATTTCAGTTCCAATCACCAAATGAGGTTGGGTTTGTCTTACTGCCAAGTAAGTTTAATAACAAATAAAAATTAGAAAAAGGTAATAAATTTCAGTTTCCAGAGGTTTTTGGATTTTGGAATGGTAGATGAGGACTGCAGGCTCCCTGAGGTTTTATGAGCTATTTTTTCCTTTCCAACAGCCACCCTCTTATTCAGTGGCTGATCTGGGACAATAGTCAGTATTAATGTGTTACTTTCCAAATGGGGCTGACATTCAGTGCTTCTAAACACTCAGTGCCTCTAAACAATATTTCCCTTCTGAACAGAAAGAAAAGATGCTTTTCACTTCTTCCCTCTGCCCCTGTTTTTGGGTGTGTGTGTTTGTTTTGTTTTATTTTATTTTACTGTAATTAAGCTGCTCATCTCCTACAGAAGGGAGACCTGAAGACCTTGTTGTACTCAGTTGCTTGGATTTGTGCCCACATGTGTTATGATTATTTGGAAGAAATCATGGCATGAGTTAGGGTTTAAGGTGCTTACCTCCTAGGACCAACATCCCACCCTCCTTATTCCAAGGGCAGCATCCCAGTTTCGGATTATGTAAACCTGTCGCTTTCCTCTGTGCTCAGACCTTCCCCCAGGATGTAGGCATTTCCTCCCTGTGTAGGTCAGAGGGACAAAGATGCACCACTTATAAAGCTCTGACCAGATTCAGACAAGATCAGGAGGAAGGAGTAACTTTCAGAACACCTCAGCAAGTCCTGAAAAGGAGTAACCTGTGAACAACCAAAGAGAAGTTCCATCAAATCTCACTGCTCGGGGGAGGCAGGGAGATCCCAGATAAACAGAAGCCACCAATTACCCCAGTGTCTCGTCTCGTCTTAGTCAATACAGTTCAGCTCACAACCATTGATATTCATGAATGAGATGCAATAATTTAGATAATTCTGAACTTGGCCCTTGGTTTGGAGGGATGGTATAGGGGTTTGTTTGTGACCACGGGCTATTTTTGTTTGCCTTTATGGGCACTAAAGGAGCCTGGGTGGTGCAATGGTTAAGTGCTCAGCTACTAACCGAAAAATCAGCAGTTCAAACCCACCAGCTGCTTCACAGGAGGAAGATGTGGCAGTCTGCTTCCATAAAGAGTACAGCTCTGGAAACCCAGTGGAGACATTTCTATTCTGTCCTATAGGGTTGCTATGAGTGGGAATCGACCGAACAGCAATGGGTTTGGTTTGGTTGTGGGCACTAAAGCTTTGAAAACATGTCCATAGGAGGCCTTTGACCTAAAGGTCCCAGCGGACCCATGTGACAGTCTTCTTGGGTCAACATAGGTCTGTTAGTAGACTTAGTTCCCTCTCAAGCCAGGCTGAGGAGTCCATGTCTGAAGATCTCCATAAAGGTAATCAAGGGGAGGTGAGAGAGTTGTCAGATGAAGTGGGATGCAGTTTGGCCCCCTGACTTTGAGCTGTTTCTTCCTACAATCCCCTTATGTACTTAATGCCACCTGGGCACGGAGAAAAGCAGACATCTATGTGAAGTATGTCGTGTCATGACGGGCCCTTCTAGTGGAGTCAGATTGATCAGCCTCAGAAAGAAGAGTCAAGATGCCAGATTTTTAGGGATTTACTGTGACCCCAGAAACCCTGGTGGCATAGTGGTTAAAGCGACTGACTGCTAACCAAAAGGTTGGCAGTTCAAATCCACCAGGCGCTCCTTGGAAACCCTATGGGGCAGTTCTACTCTGTCCTATAGGGTTGCTATGAGTTGGAATTGAGTCAATAGCAACGGGTTTGGGTTTTTTTGTTTTTTTTTTCTGTGACCCCAGGATGGGGGACAGCCTGACCACCCTGTTGTGGCCTACAGACAGACAGATGTCCTAACCCTGTTAAGGGCTCCAGGCCCAGGTCTTCCTTTCAATGCCGCTCTTTTCTCCAGTGGAGACTTTAACAATCTTTACGTGGTTTTCACAGTACCCAGCTAGAAAAGAGGTGCAGGGAGACAGGCACATGGGACTGCCTCCTACATCTGGGGGGACCCAAGGCCTTGAGGCTGACCCATAACTAGAGGGAAGCTGGGAGAGCCGCATTGTGGGAGGAGGGAGCTGAGTAGAGAACGAATACAAAATTCTGTTAAGCCCAGTTTGTATTCTGTGTCCTCCTAAAACTCGGCGCAGTTTGTATTGCGGCAGATTAATAATGGCGTGAAAGGCGACCGGCTTGTGGTTGCCTAGCTACGAGTAGCTCTTCTGTGCCTGGGATAAAAGGGAAATCGGGTAATGGTGGGAAGCCACAGGGCTCTTTGGTGTTTCTTTTAACTCATCCAGCAGGCTTGCCTCTTGGTGGGACCTCCCAACAGCACCAAGGACCTAAAGGCTAAATTTGATGTTTGGATGTGATTGGAAAGTTAGAGCAGATCCAAAAGTAGCCTGGTGGAATCTCATTCCTCACTCTCTCTGATTCTAGCCGTTAGAGGGGAGTTTTTCTTTTTCGTTCGTTCTTTTTTTTCTTTTTTCCCCATTTTTCCCTTGTTTTCCTAGCTCTCTCGCTTCCCTACAATTTTTTTTTTCTCCCATGGTAGTTCAAACCATGATCATCTCGAAGGTCTGATTTTAACTATTTTCTGTACTCATGAGGTGATTTTATATAATCACATATAATTAATTTTCTTTTACTTTATCTGAAAGAATTCCAGATTGGAAAGCAGAAATCTCCACACCGTTTCCACCTTCCTCCCGCTGTTTAACATGTCCTTCATGACTTGGGTTAGTGGTGTGCAGCTCTGGAATTTTCCTCTGCGTACCTAGCATTCCTTTCCCTAGATAAAACCATCGTTTCTTTTTCAGTAGGAGAAAATAGCTTTTAGAGGCAATAGCCCAAGGCAAAATTGTGAAGTAGAGTTTATGTTCTGGGCTATTCTATCTGCTTATGGTCCCCATTTGGTATTGCCTTATTTTTACCCCCATTAAAACGTTTTTATTCTGTGTCCAGTTTCTTGGACCTGTGTCAGGTAACTGCTTAGAAAATTTGAAAAAATAATTGCACCAAGATAATAAAGTATAATAATAGTTCAGTGTATTACTACAGAGCCTTGGTGGTGCAATGGTTAAGCGCTTGGCTGCTAATCAGCTTGGCTGCTAACTGTGAAAGGTTGGTGGTTTGAATCCACCCAGCTGCTCCACAGGAGAAAGACTTGACAGTCTGCTCCCGTAAAGATTACAGCCTAGGGAACCCTATGGGACAGTCCTACTCTGTCACATGGGGTCACTATGAGTCAGAATCAACTCAATGGCAAACAATGACAGTGTGTTTTCTCCTTCCAGATAGCATTCCAACAGGATACTCCAAATTACCCAACCCCTAAGAATCCCAGGGAAGGGAGCTGAGCCTGGGCCACGCTCTGGTTCTGAGTAGATGTGTGACCTAGGGAGCATCACCTTCTCTCTCTGGGTTCCATCTTCCCCATAACTAGGATCCATGGAATGAACTAACGTCCCTTCTACCTTAACATTTTTAGGATTCTCTATGCAATGGAGGAGTTCTTAATTATTCTATCACTCTTGATCATAAAATTGCCATATTTATTGGAATCAGGGTGACATTTCAGGTTGTGTCTCAGACATTCAGAGTAAGGACCTGGCAGATAATCACCCACCCGTTATATTACCTGAAAATGATTGGAGGTTTATTGCCAACACTCTCATATATGCTATTGTGATTCATTATGCTTTCATTTTTCTGACTCTTCTTGAACCTATGAAACGTCCTTTTATTTTCATTCTTTATCATTCTTTTCATTTTTTCCTAGGTAGGGCTACTTCTTTAAGCTTTAGGAGTTGCCCTCACCTTGTGTCCCCCCTACCACCACCACCAGTTTTATACATTTATATTATTATTTCCTACCTACTTCCTCTTTATGCCTGTGTTCCTTTGAGGCTGAAGACCCTGATTCTTTTTAGGTTCTTCACACGAAAGCCCTACAATCATTTCAGTAGTCTATTTTCTACAAAAGGTTTAAAAGTATTTTTTGTTTGAGGAGAGGAGGTGATTGACAAGGGGAGAGCTGGTTGATTTTTCTTTTAGAGGAAATGTTTACCATAGATTTTTCATTTTCAAATAAATTGTCCTCAAGAAAGATAAATTATAGAGAAGTAGAAAAGAAAATCAGGGATGGCAGTTTTTTACAAATTAGCTGAGCGTAGGCAAGCACATTTTCATGGCTAGGCTGTAAACAGTATAGTGCCCACCCCGTGGACAAAAGCCTGCTCTCCAGGCGACCCTAGTAAGGAAGTGTCAAGACAAAATACTGCTCTTTGTTCCTGTCCGGCTTCCTAGTAAACCAATATCCTCTTTCTTTTGTAGTCAGCGCTTGGCAGATTCTTGTTAGAACCACTTGTGAGAAATTTGCAGTTTCTGAGCCCACGTGAGACCAGAACCCTTGCCTCCTCCTTCCTCTAGAGTGCTGATAACAACTCGTGAGCCCAGAGAGACTTAGAAAACAGTCCTTTATGGGGTTGTTGTTGTTGTTGGGTGCCATCAAATCGATTTTGACTCATAGCGACCCCATGTAGCAGAGTAGAACTATCTCATAGGGTTTTCTTGGCTGTAATCTTTACAGGGGCAGATTGCCAGGTCTTTCTCCTAAAGAGCCGCTGGGTGGGTTCAAACTGCCAACCTTTTCGTTAACAGCTGAGTATTTAACCGTTGTGCTCCCAGGGCTCCTTTTTCTGGGGTTAATGCTCTGAAAATACTCTTTTTCAGAGGATCTGCTATAGACCTATTACAGATTGCCCAAGTCTCAAATCTCAGCAAGGCCATTTCCTGCAGTTGGCTGTGGATACATTAGGTCACCCAGCAGATTAAAAGAGGGGTAATTATGCAAATTCCAGCATCAAGAATAAGTGGCCTGGCTGCTGGAGTCATCAGTGGGAGAAGGGGTGGCATGACTTCAGCTCCCCTTTGTGCTCAAGATGGCCGCAGCCATGGTCACGGTTAAATAGCTGTCTTTGAGGAAAGTCTTTTCTTCCAGCAGGGAAAATAGGCCAGTCTGCTCTGAATTAGCCAGCTAACAATGTCATGAAAGCAACTTACAAAAACAATGGCACGTTGTACATTCCATGAGATTTTAACAAGTTATATGAACCAAATAATGGCCCGATTGGCTGCTTCCGCAGGTTTTTGCCTGAGTGTGCACATCCACAGAGCCAGCTCTGTCTCCCGTGGGACCAGAGATCAGACACTGCCAGCGGTGAATGTGAAACAGCCCTAGCTCCCTCTGGGGCTCACGGTCAGAGGAACGAAATAGAGCCCCCATCCAACTCCTCCCGCTCCACCCCAAAAGCATTCTCTGCAATTATTCTTGGGAGGTTTAATGTTACTACAATAAAAAACATGGTTGAGGCCGGGTGGGAAAAACAGCAGAATAAGGATGGAAGGACAGTCCTTCATTCAATGGAATCTTATCCTTCAGGCTTGTGAAAATGTAGCTAGTTATAAAAATTAAAACCTTATAAAAACATATGTCCATACAAAACTCTGTATGTGAATGTTCATAATGACTTTATTGATAATTGATAAAAACTGGAAATGACCCAAATGTCCTTCAACGGGCGAATGGATAAACAAACTGTAGCATACCCACACAATGGAGTACTACTCAGCAATAAAAGGGAATAGACTTACTGGTACTCAAAACAACATGGACGACTCTCAGATGCAGTATGCTGAGTGAAAGTAGATAGTCTCAAAAGCCTACATATTCTATAATTACATTTGTTTCATATTCTAGAACAGGCAGAGCAGATAATGGCTTTAAAGGGGTTGGGAGGGGGGTTGACTGCAAAGGAGCAGGAGGAAACTTGATGGAAATGTTCTATACCTTGATTTTGGTGCTGGTTATCCAATGGGAAGCATTTGTCAAAGCTCATAGAACTATACCCTAAAAAAAATGAATCTTACTGTGTGCAAATTATACCTTAACAAGCCTGACTTAAACGTAGTAAACAAAAACTTTATCTTGTTTTAGCCCTTAGGTACTGCCATCTCTGTAGAGGAAATTTTTTGTTTTGAGAGGGGCCAC